TAATTTTGAGTCAGTACAAGTCATCCTAACCATGTTTGAAAGCTGGGAATACATGTCTGTAATAAGTATGGAATAAGATGAATGTGGAGTTCCCCTTCTGCTCTAGTGATACTGCTCAGGTAGGATAAGAGCTACTTTGCCCGATAGCACCACACGCATGATCTGTGTGCCGCACCTTTTTCCAAATGTGCTGTATCACACTCAACTTTTTACTTTAAAAAATTGAAACCTGATAGGTGTGATTAAAATTAAAATAGCAAATAGACCCTTCTAAGTATGAAATGTAAATATAACAAAATGGGTGAAATATAAGAGATTCTTACATGAGAATGTGAAGTGAGAATGTGAACAAAACAGAAGCTCAAATGATGACATGAAAATTGAAATCTAACAGAAATATTGCTGGATTAGGACAAGTTAGCTCCCACAATGACAACAAATAAAAAAAGGCAATCCAAACTGTCAGCAAACTGCAAAATATTCACATTCATCAGTTAAAGAGTGTTAAATGTAATTGTATTAAGGAGCAAGCAATGATGTTTGCAATACTCATAGTCAATGAGGAAAGCTAACGTTTGCTGCACGGTAAATTATCCCCAATTACATTTAGCAGAGTGGCTCCCTAATTATACATACAAACAAAATAACGCACAGCAACCCTAAAGTAATTCAATCATTTCCTTTGCACATTAGTATCATTCTGGCACTACTGTAGAAGGAGCCAAGTCTCCTTTTACCATTTGTGATTCTGTTTCACTCAGACAATGAAAAACCACTTTGGGAAGCTCCTATGGTTATTGAATCTCTATCACCCTAAAATGCAAAGGCTTTAAACCTGTCTTTCTCAATTAAAGCAAGCTGGACTACAACTCCCATACTCCTCTCTAATATAAGTCATTTCCCGGCACCAATTGGGAATGGCTAGTTCAAGGAATTGAGACAGACTGATCCCCCACCCCACTTTTTTTTTCAGGAAAGAACAAGGCAAATCTTTATTCTCTTTATTCTATTTATTACAATTCTAAGCTCTTACTCTTGAAGACTAATTGAAGCCCTACTTATAACTCATTTGGAAGAGGGGGGAGGGGGGAAGTTGTGGCTTTTGAGATGTTGCTAAACTACAATTCCTAGCAATCCCTGCCAGCATGATCAATGCTGTGGAAGGGTGGAAGTTGTAGTTCAACAAAATCTGGAGGGCCACATGTTGCAAAACCATCTTGCAAACTGATTGACACCATTAGGAAAATCTTTGGACAACTGAAAACCCGGATGTTCTCTACACACACAGCAACAGATACCTGGAAATGGTGTGTGTACATGGTGCAAAATCATGATTATGCAAACTACAAGAGAGAGCATGACAGATGACACTCTCTTCCTATTGCTCTACATTTGGGGTAGGCATGTAACTGGTACTACTACAAGGCAGAACATAGAACAACTTTACAATCAACTATAAGTCAAATGTATCCTTTTGTCCAATTCACCAAGGCAAAACTTCCAAAATCTGATCACCCTGAGCCTACTACACCCTGCTCTGCAATAGTCAGGAATCTCAGCTACTAGAAACAAAGGTGTCCCAGATTCAAATGCCACCTTGGATGCTAACTCAACAAAGAGGTTTTAGGAGAATCTCTATTCTCAGATCCCTACCATAAAACAACAACAATGATCACAGTCTGTCTTTATTTCTTTAAGGCCTCTCTATTTGGATATAAGGAACTTTGGTGTGGCTATGTCTCAGCAGGTGGCAACAGACCTTCTCTGGGCTTAGAAGCTAAGCCTATCGGGATAGGAGGGTACTAAGAAATCCCATAACTGTAGACTGGATGAAGAAGTGAAAATAATAAAGATCTGTCCCCCCAAAAATTGCATGGATGCGTTCATGTAATAGAACTCATTTAAAGGGCATTTACCTTTGCACTGTTAATAATGACTATTAGAACTCCATATATTATATTTCCAGCTACTAAATTACTGCTTAATAAGCCATTCGCACATAGAGATTGTGGCATTTGCCAAAATACAGCCCTGGATATGATTCCTTCCAGTTGTTGAATTCAATTTTTGTAATTAAAAATGGCTATTTACTTAAAAAGAGCTGTTCTCCAAAAGCACATACATTTGGGAATCAGTTTCTGAAGACAAAATGCAACTTTTGAAACAGATGTTAGAAGCTTTCATGAGCCCTGCTGGAACTATACCCAGTTCTAATATACAGGAAAACAGTGGCATTCCTTAACAAAAAGATACCTTTTTTAGAGCAGACCCATTTCTCTCTTCGTTTCCTCCCATCCTGCACGCAGAGAGCAATCTGCATCTTGCCAAACTGATTGTATGACAGAAGGATCTAATTACCTCCTGAAAATAGAGCACTTATGAATAAAGATATTTGGGGCAGAGATAGTGTTCTCTCCCAAGAATGATGGAGGATAAATTCGAATATTAAAAGTATTTAGTTTTTTTTTTTTAAAGCCTTG